ATATATATATATATATATATATATATATATATATATATATATATATCCCCTGTGTGCTATTTATAATTAGCAATAGCAAGCAAATATCACTAATTTTTGAAAATCTACTACCTTGGTTCCATCAAATTTGGTTTGCCTCTACTGTGCTTGGGGTCAGTATGAATAATATATAGGGAGATGAGGAGTGTAATGAAATATATTTTAGGTCTTCCTGAAAGCCTACCTAAAAACCATAGTTGGGCAAATTACCCTTTTGATATGCAGAATGTGTGCATGCTACATTGGACTTCAGTTTTTATTTTTCTTGTGCTTACAAAAAAAAAAAAAAAAAAAAAGAACCCAAATCCATGTCATCAATAATGTAAAAATATGAAGGGTGGGTTGATTTTTACTAGTACAGTTAGAACACATTAAATGTCACACAGCATCAAAAACTCTTTTTGAGTCTAGGGATTGTATCTCAACTTTACATTGAGACAGGAAATATATATATATATATATATATATATATATATATATATATATATATAATCATTTTAATATACCAGGACTGCCAGTGTAGCTCAGTGGCAGAGATTTTACCCAGCATGCAAACAGTCCAGGACCACAAAAACAAACAAACAAACAAAAGAAAGAGTGGGAGGTATTTTGAGGACAGATCACTGAAACATAGTACTAGTCATTCCTGATCAAAAGGTAGCGCTTTGTTTTGACTGTTTTCTGGACTGTTTTTTTTTTTTTCCTCTTTGCTTCCTCACCTCCTCACTACTTTCCCACATTTACTGTCAGAGCTCCTCCTCAAGAGCATTCCTTAATTTAAAAGAGTTCTTATTTGAAATGAGAGTAACTTCTGTTTAGAAACATGGTTGGGATCAGGGGTCCCTCGAAGCTGTATTCCTGGGAAATGTGATACATGCCGACAAGGAACCTGTCTTTTCATTGTGATTCAAATGCCTTTAACAAGTGCAAGCTACAGCAGGGCTCAGCCACTTTAAACGCTGACTTCTAAATCAAGCGTATTCATTAAATAAATGGAAATTACTGACACTTTGACTCTGAGACCGTTTATCCTCTGCTTAGAATCCAGTACTCGGTTTACAGCCAGCAAGCAGCATTTGTTTTCTGGAGGACTGAAATAATTCTGCTTTGCTTTTTATTCCTGCCTCCGGCGTCAACCACGTGTCAGGACGGAGGCGCTTAATGTGTTGCTGAATCTGACCTGCGGTGTCCCTTATTCATCCTCGAGAAAACACTTGTACGCTCAGAGGCGCAGGAGCGCAGGTGCAGCCCACAGTCAGGCTATCGATTCAGTTTTATTGCTGCCAATCAAACAGACCCAGGAGCCTCTGCCTTGCCCGTGAGAGTGACTAGTGGAAGATGCGCGCGTCAGACGAAGTGCGCGGCCAGTCCTTGCTGTGTCGGCTCTTGGTCCTCCCAGCTGTAATCACTGACCAGTGCTACTGTGCATGGCGTGTCCCCGCATGAGATGGGGGTCGCAGACAGGAAGGCTGGACTCACCCCTGAAACACGATTTCAAAGCTGATTTACATTTTTATCATCAGTTTAGGGGTAGGAAAACGAGAGGAGTTGACTTTCATTTTCTTTTGAAAGTCTTGGGAATTGTGAGTAGGAAGTACTGCCATCTAACATTTTTATAAAGTCTCCTGGTAAAAAGTGATGAATTTATCTCTTCTAAGAATGGTTTGATTTAGCTGGGCAGTGGTGGCTCATGCCTTTAGTCCCAGCGCTTGGGAGGCAGAGTCTGAGTTTGAGGCCAGCCTCCTCTATAAAATGAGTTCCAGGACAGCATTACACAGAAAAAAAAAAAAAAAAAAACCCTGTTTTAAAAAAAAAAAAAAAAAAAAAAGAAAGATGGTAGTTGATTTAAAGTAATCCTAGCATGTCTGACGTTGAGATTAGAATTTGATAGGGAATTCAAATAAAACTAACATAAAATTAAGTAAAAATACACCATCTAGTAAATATACCATCTTATGTTAACACTTCACTACCAAACCATGACAGCATTCTGTATAAAACTGTCAGTATATTCTCACTCTGGTTCTACTGGACATTTTCTAAACATGACCGATGTCGAATAACCAATTCCCTACAAGTCACACTTTAACTATATTCATTGTAAATGAGATTGGCTTTAGGTGGTATCATTCATAATTGTGTATTAAAGGAATTAACCGTGAAGGAGATGCAGGAGGGCAGTCTTAAGTGTAGGAACAAATGCATGTATTACTAATAGTCCCATGGTCACCTGAGCAAGAACATGGAAGTTTAATATTTCTCCCAGTGTGCCTTAACCAATTTGCTAACCGAAGTCCAGTTCTATAGTTTAAGAGCTGCAAAACAGAGTGGGGATACTTGCAATTCTGAGCCCCAAAAGGTAGAAAGTTTCAGTAGTACTATGTTCTGCAGAACCTGGAAAGATGCAAATAAAAATGGGAAAAGTTGGGTTTTCTGTGACTATTTAAAAGATAAAAGCATGGACAGAATCACTACTGTTAAGTGACCTGTTATTTTTCCCAGTTCACCTTCACTTTCCAGAGACAAAAGAGACAGCTGTACTTTTGTTTCTTTGGTTGTTTTCTTTTTTTCCCCAGCTGTGGTTTTTATGGGTTATTTCACAAAATAATCATTTCCTGCCACATTTTTTTGATATTCTGTGTCAGTATGATTCTTTATATATGCTTAAGAACCAAAAGGTTTAAAATATGAAAGTTGGGGAGAACAGCTAGTTTATCTTTTTCCTGCTCAGCCTCCTCTCCTCCCCCATCTATCATCTGCTCACATGACAGAAATGCAGGAAATCCCCCCCAATCATTTGTTCTGTAGTTGGCTTCAGAGGGCCAGAAATGTCAAATGAACAGTCTCCCAAGTGGACATTGGGATGCGAATACTGGGTAAAGCAGATCCAACCCTCCAAGTTACTAAAGATGTTAGGATGCAGGACATTGGCATGATCTGATTTGTAGATATGTCTTTCATGTGAATGACTGCATGAGGGAGGGGAAAACAGAAACTAATCTGGAGCCATCTATAATTATAACACAACCAAATGAGAGAAAAGGGCAGTTGCCACATATAAAGATTCACTTAAATTTTTTATTTAATGTGGACAGTTATACGTAGCTTCTCTGTGTGGTGTGTGAGTATGACTAGTTTCTTTCCTGGTTAGATGTAATGGGTCACTTCTCACTGGTCAGAAGGAGTTCCAGCATCCTTTCTTTGTTTATTCCCATGTTCTGTCTCCTGAAACCCCAGTTCTCACTGTGGACACCAGCCACACTGTGACTGAAGCCTTAAACGCCACCGTTGCTCGTAGGACCAGTCATCCCAGTGAGACTCTACAGCAGCAGTTCTGTAGACACAGATGCACACTTCGCTGCCAGCAGAAGCCTGTTGGATTTAAGGGTTTTCAAGAATGGTGTGTGACATGAATCCCTTTCCCCTTTAGCCAACATTCATTTATCTTTTATGTTCACTTGCCAACAGAAACTGGACAACCCTTTGCCATATTCAGAAGGCTAATCAGGATCAGTGTTTGAGACAAGAAATGACAGAAGGGCATCCTTCCTCATCCTCCATTTTTGTAATGTCCATATGAATTTCAGTGTGTCAAGGTGGTTGAACCTAAAATTCAGTGAATGACTTGACGGAACTATGGCTTGTATTTCCCTTCATTTGTCATTCATCCTCACTCACTGTAACTTCTTGCACTATTGTGGCTCATTTTATGTAAAACCAGTTAACTTTAAAAACAATGTGCCTATGTAATAAAGTCTACACACTGGCTATTTCTGTAGAGGTGATGTTTTGTTTTAGATGTTTTGCTGAATAATCTGTAATATCTTTTTTGAGCTATGAAAAGGAAGTATTAATAAAAAAATTTAAGTAAAGTGTCATTGTATTGTTTAATGA